AGTATTTCAGCATACTGGATCTAGCCTCAGGATTCCATCAAATACCAATGGAGAAGGAGGATGCGCAAAAAACTGCATTTTCTACTCCGTACGGGCATTACGAATTTACACGAATGCCATTTGGATTGAAAAATGCTCCAGCTACATTCCAACGACACATGAACAATTTATTATCCGGACTACAAGGTTGGGAACTGTTCATTTACATGGACGATTATGTAATTTATGCAGCTACTTTAAAGGAACACGAAACTAAATTCAAACGGATGATGGAACGTTTAAAGGAAGGAAATGTAAAACTCCAACCAGATAAATGTGAGTTTCTACGAAAAGAAGTAACTTATTTAGGACATATTCGCAGTGAAAAGGGAGTACAACCCGATCCTAAAAAATTAGAGGTAGTAAAGAAATTTCCAAGACCTAAAAATGCGAAACACATAAAACAATTTTTAGGACTAACAGGCTACTATAGAAGATTCATTAAAAATTATTCAAAAATTGCAAAACCATTAACTGAGCTCCTAAAGAAAACAAAAAAGTTTGAATGGACTTCAAAGCAACAAGAAGCATTCGAGATCTTGAGAGATAAAATATGCGAATCTCCAATATTACAATTTCCGGATTTCACAAAACCGTTTATTTTAACCACGGACGCATCAGGATACGCAATCGGAGGAATATTAAGTCAAGGGGAAATAGGCAAGGATTTACCAATAGCCTATACCTCGAGAACGCTTAACGAACATGAACAAAAATATTCAACGATAGAGAAAGAACGTCTAGCAGTAGTCTACAGTGTGAATCACTTCAGACCTTATTTATATGGAAGGAAATTTAAAATAATTACAGATCACAAGCCGTTAGTTTGGCTTCACAACATTAAAGATCCGACCTCTAGATTATGGAAATGGAAGCTAAAATTATCAGAATACGAATTCGAAATTATCTATAAACAGGGAAGTACGAATCTAAACGCAGACGCGTTATCGAGAAATCCTCCAACCCAAGAATTACAAAGTGAGGAAGGAGTACTCTCACAATTTTTCCCAATGGAATTGTCGGGTGATGAAAACATATTTTCACCTAGAACCAAGAAGAGAAAATCGAGTGAACCACCTGAAGAAACAAAACATGAAGAAAAGAAACCAAAACAAATAAAATAAAAAATTCAACAAAACATCGGTCCATCAACGAAAAGAAGAAGTTCCTCTGAACAGATTGAACAAAAGAAAAAACAACGGAAAATTAATCCCGAATTAAAAACATTATCACCTACAATACCAAATCCAGAAGATGAAGGAAATCCAGATGAACAAGATCAGGAAGAAGCAATCGAAGAAACACCACCAAATCAAGAGGCGATAATAGAAATACCTCCTGAACCTCCAGACGATTCAGAAAACCAAGAGGCAACGATAGAAATTCCGCCCGAATCGCCGGACGATCATTGGACGAAATATGAAGATTGGGAAGAGGAAGAAGAAGAATCCCTCAACTCGGAAACCAACGACTCTGACGAGCCAGAGGACGACGAATCTATATTTAGCAAACCGCCTCAATATGGATTTTTAAAAATCGTAAAAACTAAGGAACCGTTAATTATTCAAAAAAATAATCTCATAGCATTCCTAACTTATCAAGGCACACCCGCGTGCGAAGGTGCTAAGGAATTACAGGAAGCAAACCTGCTGCCTGATATTGACGAAATAATACCTAACACACCGAGAGTTAAACCTCACGGAAATTATTATCTAATTTTCATACCGATACAAGAAAGGAGGACGGCTCCAATAGATACTAATCAAATGATAACAGGCCTCAGGTTAATAAAAACCGTCTTAGATGAATTAAATCTTAACAAATTCGCGATCAGAGAATCAAGTTCAATCGGCAACGTATCATGGTATTTAATAGAGAAGCGTATGATAGAGTTATTCAGTGATTATAGAATCACAATCACATGTTGTTCAGGAAAACTAAAATCACCACCAATAAATGAAAGATTAGGAATAATTGCCGAAGTACATAGTTCAGTAATTAATGGTCACAAAGGAGTAACCAAAACGTTACAAAGAATTAAAGAAAGATATATATGGCCAAACATGAAAAGTCAAATCCAAGAATATATTAGTACTTGTGAAATTTGTCAACGTAGAAAATTAACCAGGAAGAAAACTAAAATGCCAATGATCATAACAGATACACCTGGTTATTCTTTTGATAAAGTTGCCATAGATATCATGGGACCTTCACCCATTACAACCAATGGATATATGTACATATTGACAATGCAAGATCTACTAACTAAATATTCCATTGCCGTACCACTTAACAATATAAGTTCAGTTATGATAGCCGACACCATGCTGAAACGATTAATTTGTGTTTTCGGCGCTCCCAAAGCGATCTTAACTGATCAAGGAGCGAATTTAATCTCATCAATAATGAAATACATCGCAAAAAGATTTGGCATAAGGCAGTACAAAACGACAGCTTATAGGCCACAATCGAACGGATCACTAGAGAGATCACATCACGTGTTGTCGGAATATCTAAAAATACAAACAGAAAAAGGCAAAGATTGGGATACATGGATAGACCTTGCAATGTTTTCATACAATACGAGTGTTCATGAAGGTACCAAATACACTCCTTACGAGTTAGTTTTTGGTAGAACAGCTCGAGTACCAAATTCAGAACCAGATATTGACGATCAGATAGAAACTACATACTTTGATTATCTCAATAATTTATTTGATGCCATAATAGAGGCACAAACAATAGCGCGACAGAATTTAATCAAAGCAAAAGAAAGATCGAAAAGATATTACGATGCTCAAGTAAATGTTCAAAATTTTAGTGAAGGTCAATAGGTTTACCTATT